ATTTTTCATTATTTAATTTTTTCAAACATAATTCAGGACTCTAACATTTGGTGGCAAAAGTTCGAAAAGTCAAACGGACATTTATAGTGATTCTACGCAAAATCGCAAAAAGAAAACAATAGCCCTTCAGGGACAAAGCCCCTTTGGGTTAATAATAGGTTAGGTTCCTTAGCAAGTTATTAACAATTACACATCAATACTGCCTTCCGATACAGTGCAACATTTGAGTATGAGCGCCTAGCTCTGCATGAGTACAAAATTATATTTTACACTAAAGATATACTGTAGGGTTTTTTTCGATTTCATAAATCCTTAATTGCATAAATATAACATGAAAATTTGCATTAAGTCTTGAATGGAGAAAACCATCATTACTGAAAAGCATATTATTAATACATATTACATGTTACATCCATGCAGTGTACATATACTACCTACATATACGTACTCTGATACTAACAATAACACGTGACAACATAAAGGAATTCTGTAGCCCCAAGAAAGAGTTCACATTCGCAAAGGAATTATGAACTTTATAAATGGCAATAGAACAATACTGGGAATTCTAATTTGATGTTTTAAACGTCTAGCATATATCTTCAATGATTTTCTCCTCAACGCCTCCTTTTCTCGATGAAATTCGTAATCGCCTTTCCACATATCTTCCTATAGTGTGGCAAATAACTATTCATTTCCTCTTCTTTGTTGTTCTCTAACATTTTGTTACAGTTCTTTGTTGTTTCTCTTTATGTCTGGATTTTTTGGGACTTGCATAACAATGTCACGCAGAACAGATATTTGGTCTTAGCTCGAAAGTGTAGTGACGTAATGGCCATTATTGAAGCTGTGGCCTTAAATTTCTTTATAAGTTTGCGAACTTTTGTTACATTAAGCGCGTCTCCACATTCAAAAATTGCACAAATTGTCGAACAGTCTAGGCATAACGTTAGTCATTCTTGTAATGCGTTTTCTCATCCAATATTCCTTTGTTTAGCGCTCCGTGCATCCTAAGCTAAAACGAAGCTGCGAAATAAAACGAAAGTGATAAAATGGCAGCGTTGTTAAGTCAAATCAAACTCGACAGTTTTAAGTCGAGATATTTACCAGCTGTACATATGTAAAAATGTTTTCCATTCCAGTTCCTTCCATTTGATAAACTATCTCTGTTCAAATGTTCATTGCATTTGAAATTTTAAAAAATAAAAGCTAATAATATAAATGTATTAGTAATTAAAGATTAATAAGCACGAGCTTGAAATATATGTCGGAAGATGGATATATTTTTGAGAAAATGGAAAGGCATTTGCAAAAAGGTATGAACTCAAATATGTAGGTAGTTGGCTTCAGAATTTTAAATTACGAAATATATTTACGCGTTGTAACATCTTCGTTGAAATTATTTTTGTAAATTCTGAAATAATTCTCCGCTAGACAAAAGAAAGCTGAAAATTCATGTATGAATTTTACCGAGTGATACATTTGGTGCTCATAAAACTGGACCACTTTTGAAATTGTTAATCGGCATATATTTTGTTTTCAAATTTGAAACATGCAAAGTCAGAAAATTCTCTAATGAAAATTATCGGCAATTTTCCTTTGTAGACATGCAGAGAAAAATAAAACCTTCCCTGCTTGTAGTTGAAAGTTCTCAGAAATTACTCTTTTTTGATTCAATAGGCGTTTTTCCGACTTTTATTATGTTCTACGAAGAAAATGCAAAAAATATGAATGAAATGAAAACGTTCTTCCAAGGCATCTGCAAAATATGGATAAATATAACTAAAAAGAAAAAAAAGTAATCTTATCTTACTCTTTGCATATTCCCGAGATTTATATTTTTAGGGGGTGGGGGAGTGAATAAATATCATTGAAAAAAAGATTTACCATAAAGATTTTCTTGTAACTTTACACTAATGAACTTTACAGTTATGACAAGAAATAACTAAATTGAGCATCCGGAACAGGAATGTCTTAGCAACCCTTTGAAGGCCAAAACGCCCGTGACGATGTTTCATTTAAACGACCACAACCGCCGGGCCGAGATTGCGATGTTATTTTCTTCCCTATCCCTGATGTATGCAGTAGCAAGTGAAGTTCCCCCAAATGTTTTGTATCAGTTTATTGCAAACAGCTTGTCCTAAAACTCTAAAGGAAGCTTCTTTCTTAGGAAGTAGAAAGGATTGTCATTTGAAAGCTTCGCATCACTTGCATGAGAAACGACGGGGTAGAGGGAAAACATGCGGGAAGGGTAGTGGACAGGAACAGACGTTTTGGTATTTTAAGAATACAGGTTAGCGAAGACTTCAGTTTCCTATGGGTTAACGTAAGCAATTTCTGCTTTCTTTGAAGCTGTTTCCCTAAACAGTTCAAATACTACAAATCGTTGACTAACTAAATTTATTTTGGACACGTTGCAAACTAGCTTTTCTTCATCTTATGTTAAGCCAAAATTTTACTCCGATTTTTCTGCCTTATAATCTCGTATTAGTTTCCTTCCCTCAGATTAATGAGTAGGCAAACCATCTGTACTTTTAGATATAGTATCTGATTCATTTTAAAAATTTGTTAGGAGAGGATTTTTTCCTGTTACATGGAGATCCGAGATCCGTAATGTTCTTTAGACTTTTATATTTCAGAATTCGTACATTTCATTTAAATGCCTTCTAGTGCAAAATCTGTTAATTTCAAATACCTATTTGCGTAATTTAAGACACTATCCAAATCACATTGTATGTATTTATGCGTTTAAATAAAGACATAGTTTAGGTCAAATTTCTAATTCTACGTCTTCTTAATTTTTACACAATAACAATCGACTTAATTGCGAGTAAAAAAAAAATAGTACTTAACACCTAGCAAACTAAATAAAATAAAATAAAATAAATATTTAACAAAATATTGCAACAGTATTTTAGAGATTTCATGAAATTTTAAACTTTATGGTTTTAAACTTCCCGTCAGGGAGTAACTACTACGGTCAAAACTCTCGTATTCAATAATTTGCTTTGGATTTTCTGTAGAAATATTTTAGCAGCTAATTCTTCTATTGTTATGTATTTCTTCATAAAATACTTCATGGTTGGAAGATCTTCTTTTCAGAACGCTGATTTGCGAGCTCCCTAAATTCTCAACAAACTGATACCAGTGATTTCTCCGACACATAGCTAGAAAAGCAAAGCGATTATAAGTGGATGCTGCAGAATTTTTTCCAATGAGAAAAAAATGCAAGCGAACATTTTGTATTAATTAAAAATTCACAATAACAGGTACTTACAGGGGTTGGACAAAAATATGGAAACACCTTTAAAAAAACATGTTTCTTTGCTTAATATGGTGCAGGAAACCCATCGGCATCCAAAACAGCTTGCAGTCTTCTCGGAATGGATAAATACAGTACCTCTATGTTTGCCAAGGAAATATTATACCATTCTTCCTGCAAAACGGTGGCAAGTTCAGATAACGATGTTGGCGGTGGATAACGAGAACACACTTTCCGTTCCAATGTAGACCACAAAGGTTCGATAATATTTAGGTCTGGTGACTGTGGTGGCCACGGAAGATGGGACAACTCATCCTCGTGCTCAGAAAACCAGTCCTGGACAATGTGAGCTGTGTGAACAGGGGCTTTGTCGTCTTGGAGACACCATCACCATCGGGGAACAAAGTTTGAACTTGATCGGCCAAAATGTTCACATAAGTCTTGGCAGTCATGTGCCCTGACACAGTTATCATGGGGTTAGCAGAGAACCACGATATGGCTGCCCAAACCATAACAGAACCCCCGCCATGTTTCGCTCTTGGCAACAAGCAGTCTGTATTATAGGCTTGAGATGGCATTTTCCAGACGTAAACTCGGCCAGAAGTGGGAAACAATGTGAAAGAAGACTCGTCAGACCATATTACTCGCTTCCACTGCTCTATAGTCCAGGCTTTATGACTTAAACACCACCTTTTTCTGTTACGCGCATTAGCGTCACTGATGAGTGGCTTCTCAATTGCAACACGGCCAGCAATTCAGTGTTTATGAAGCTCCCTTCTAATTGTTTTGGTACTCACAGGGTTCGGTAACACAACATTCATTTCAGCAGTAACTTTTGCAGCTGTGGTCTTCTTATTTTTCGTCTCAATTGCCCTTAATGATCGTCTGTCACGATTACTCAGGACACACTTTCGTCCGCGCTGTGATTTAGCAGATGATATTTTTCCGCTTTTCAAAATATGCGGAATAAATCTTCGATACAGTACCTCTTGAAACACTAAACACCTCGGCTACCTTGCTTACGGAAGCACCTACCATACGTGCTCCAACAATTTGCCCACGTTCGAAGTCTGTTAACTCTGACATAATGCAATGACAACCTCACATAACAGTACTCCGACAACAACTGAACTGTTTAGCACATTTACGAAGTTATATAGGTGGCGTCAGTAGTCAAAAACGCCAGCGCCACCTACATATTTCATTAAAATCAATCTTTCTTTTCAAACATGCATTTTCACAAGGTGTTTCCATATTTTTGTCCATCCACTGTACGTATTAACACAACAACCTTGGCCCAATCTGGCTATTTTTTACAGATGGAAAGGTACAATTTACTTATCGTATGTAAGTGGCTTTTGTGCCTTTTTTAAATCGTAAGTATGTGAACATTATCAGCATATGAAACGAAAACACGCTTTAACAATTTAAAACATAAATTTGAATTATTAAATAATCATTATTTGATACATTAGAAAAATAAAATCGGGAATTTTTAAGTTATTTAAATACAACTTATCTGAAAAGTAATTCATTCAAATTCCATCTGAAAGTATACTTTATATTGGAAACTCATGTCCTCAAATTTTTAAATCTTTAGCAGATTTATAGTAATAAATCTTTAGCAGATTTATAGTAATAAATCATGCTTCGAAGAATTTCATTCAGTATTCTACATGTTGATAAATTTATACGTGTTTTTTTACACCTGTGTTTAGAGGTTCATTATAAAACGAGTGAGTTATATTTCAAATAGTGTTTATTATGTAGTACATATTGAAACTCTGATAACTATTAATATAAATAAAAAACAGTTTTTTTTTATTTGATACAAAATGCGTGTATATTTTTTGCACACTTAAAAAGAATATGAATAAAAAATGTATTAAAACACAAATAAAACTTATTTATTTAACATCTTAAAACACTTTTTAAAAACAATTTAATTATGTCAAACAGGTATTTACGTATTATCGCAACCACCTTAATAGAAATCGCCAAAGCTTCATAATACACAAGCTCTGGAGACCAAGCGCATAACAGTTATTTAGGCAACCATACGCATGACAAATATTCAGTTTCCAACCTAGCCATTTCCGTGTAAGTTCTTTTTCTTTTGTATTTCAAGTTCTAACGGCTTTTATCGAAATTTATGATTACTTTTTTGTCTTAAATTCGGTTTTAAAATATGTATTTGTAGAATTTTCCTAAAATAGAAGAAAGGGAAATGAAATTTTTGCAAGAATACATTATTTTACTGCTAAAATCCCTAAAGGAACAATGCTTCGAATTCTTTCTCGAAGCGATAGTTACGAAATTTCCACCACAACAAAGAAACCCGTTTGTAACTAGGTTTACTGATTGTCTTTTGAAATAAATACATAGTTTAAACGTAGAATACGTATAGAATAATATGTATATGTGTAATATGTAACTTTTTACAATAGAAGTAACTGTTCTTTTTCTTCCGTAAAATTCGCCAAAGTGCTCCAATGCGGTTGCGATAATATGTAAGTACCCACAATCAAATTACATTTTTCATTAGTACACAAACACTAAAAGAATTAGTTATTTTTTCACAAAATTATTATACCCAGGAAGGGTTTTCGGGCGAAGATACATCTGGCGACATGCTATTAAATTCCATTATATGTAAGCCAGTTTACATTTACACTAACATGGTACCGGAGATACGGATCGAAATCTCGGCCAAATATACTTTCGTCTGAAAATCGGTTGCAGTATATGTGTACGTATATTTACAACAAATACATAAAGTAATTTCCTTCCGTTAAGTTTCTGTTTTGTTTTCTTTCTGTTCCATCTTTTCCGTTGTGATATATAACCTTAGCAAAAGTAAGATATAGTAGAGATGGACTCGTTTCGTCTCTGGGTATTCACATTCCATCCAGAAAACTTGCATAACACATCTCGCCATGCATGTCACTAAATAGCCAAGTGTTTTTTGAGTGTGATTCTCTCAGTCTTGGTGATTGCGCAAGAATTCTTGTTTCTCTTCTTCGGTAGCTGCTGCCCATTCTTTTCCATGTCCAAAAAAAATACTTTCGGAGTAGATGCGGTCTTCCTTGCGAAGCGTATCGTGAAGGTAATCGAATAACTTTGTATTTAAGCCAAAGTTAACATGGAAAAATCTATGGGAAAAAAACAGTAGGAAGGATAAATATGTCTGTTGACAACTAATCAAAAAATTCAATAATAGCATATTAACATGATAGATAAGTAAAAAAAATTCTGCTTTTGCTTGAATTAATAACAATTTAAAAGAAAGCGAATAAAAGCGGGAAGCAAACGATTATTTTGGAACGAAGTGCACAATATATAGTATCAAAAGCATCTTTTAGAATACCTGAGAAAATATTTATAACAATTTTCGATTAGATATTTTATAAATCACATGAATTGAGTGAGTAATTATTAGCTAATTTAGAGATATTATTAGAAAATAAAATATAATTTAGCAGAAAACACAAATATTATATTTAAATCGTTTGTTTAGTTAAGCAATAAACTCATTTGAAGTTTAAATATAAATTTAATTTTAAGAGACGTCGAATGGCCACAGCTTTTACAAATAGCAAGTTTGTTAAAGCGTCTGGATGATAAATGAAATCTCTTATATCTCGTGGAATGACATTAACTTGCCATTCCAAGAGGTAAAATCTGTGTGGTTTGAGGAAAAGACAAATACTTCAGTAATATAGTATACGTAACACATTCCTTTGAAGAATAATTAGGACTGAGATACAGAACGTGCAGTCAGATATATTAAACTACAAACATTTTCTAATACAAAAATTCAAATATTCTGAGACTGAAAATGTGTCCGACACCGTAAGCACGATTTAGTTTCATACACGGGCTTCTGCCAAAAATCTTCAACATGATAATCACAGATGCTAACTAAAGAGCGAGATCTGAAGAAATACCTGGCCCACTCATTGTTACAACGACATTTTGCAGTTTTTCCTCTTTCCTTCAAGCTCCGTGTATGTTCGTTATGCATCTAAAAATTTGGGGAAACTTTATAATGCATAAATTAAGAAAAAATTAGAAGATGCACAAAACATTTTTAAAAGACCATGTAATTAAAATTTTAATAAACTTATTATTTCTTGCTTTTCAAATATAAATTGAAAATTCTCACAATATTTAAAAATTCAAATAAATCTATACCAGGCATTTTAATAAGAATTTGTTTTTTTTATTTATATAAAAACAGATAATTTTCATAAATTTGTCAATTTAATATTAAATGCATTTTAATGTTTATCTGGAATATATGCGATTTAAAAGATAAATAAGATTTTAAATTATTCCTTAAGTGTATTAATTGTATTTCGATCCGCTTGTTCTTAAATCAGTAACAAAAGATTAAACCTGAAAAGTAAATTAAAATTTCAGTTAGTTTTTTAATTAAAATTTTAAAAACTATTATAAAATTAAAATTAATTAATTAAATTTTAAAATTAAAGATCTTATATATTTTACGGAATGGACACACTTTGAGAGCTGACTACGGATAAGACCGTGTGAAGTTTAATTTAGCATTTAAAGTTTCAGGCACCCAAGGCGAGTGGATAATATAAGAACAATAGCCTAACACAACCTAACAAATATAATAGGATTTTGGAAAGTTTCCAGTAAAGATACCTCTAACGTCAAATTTTCACGTATTTCGAAATGTAAGCTATTAATAGTCTCAGGTGAAAAACAGTTAGTTTATTGTTGCACAATAAACAATCCCAAAAATGAATAAATGTTTAATCCTAATTTTGTTTAAAAAAGGAATTTTGTTGTTATTGTAACAATAATCTCGCCAGTGTGACATCAGAACAAGCCCAAGTAATTCGCCGTGGCAAGGAGGCAAGATTGCGCCCTTCGCTGGCAAGAACCATGGGCACCAACCAGGTGACATTACGACTTTATTTAGTTGCACTGCCCAACTTTGAAGGAGAGCACCCCAGACAGACAGACAGAAAGAAGTACAGGGGGCACCAAAACATTCCCCATGGGCAAAACTGGTATCGCCCCACTGCACTAACCATCTATGGAAGTGTAACCTGACCAGGCAACGCTAACACCATGCTCGGGAATTTGTTTACATTGCAGCATTCATAATACACAGTTATATATTAATGGTGCATAATTTGCATTGCAGACAATATTGTCTAAGATATACTTTGCACAGGTACTTTGCAGTTGGATGGATTAAACCGTAAGAGAGGACTTCCGGCTCGTCGCATATTTAGAGTGCCCCGATGTCGCACAGACACTATACATTTACAAACATCCGCGCTTTCCTCGGGATTCGAACCCAAGCCTTTCTGTACGGCAGGTAATGTCACTAAACACGCTTCCGGTTAGGCGGCAAAAGGAATTATTATATATGTCATTGTAAGAGGGCATAAATTTGAGCGCTTTTGTTTGAATACGGAATTTGCTATATAAAAACATCGTTTTTTTCCATGTAGTTTCATGTAGTAGGAGTTCAATAAGTATGATTTCACAACGTGGGGAAAAAACTGTGGGTTACCCTACACCAGAAATGCAAAATGCATACACACATATGCCAAATAATCTTCTATAACTGGCAACAACAAGACTTTACCAGTTTTGGATACAAGATTCTGCCAATTAAATATATATATTTCTAGAAAGTCCTGTTCATGTTTTCTGATACTGCAGCTGAAACTCTAGTATGTGAAATTAGTGAGTCGTGTTTATTTACTTATTTATTTTTTAATTTACCGTTCATAATTAGATAAATAATCTCGGAAGTATGACTGATTTTTTTAAATGCACCCAAGTTTATGTTTAAAAACATTAACTATACTTGCAATTGCAAGACTTAGTTATATTTATTATTTAATGAAGGAACAACTTCGACATGTCAGAACTTCGACATGCCAGAACTTCGACATGCCAGTGTCATTATTTAGTGTCATTATTTAATGCGTACGTAGCGACGTACGTATAAACGTACGTAGCGATCCGTTTAATGAACGATGAATGAAAAAAGTTACTTCAACATGTATTACCAATAGCTTTCGTAAGGCTGGATTGGACATTTTTTAAGAAGGACAAATCACCCTGGAAGAAAAAGAAATAGATGTCTTGGAAAATTTGGAAATCAGTAAAGTATGTAAATTATGTATCTGTTCACGTTAATGTTATCATTTCCAAGCTACTTACTCATGAAAACATTCTAGTTGAAGTTTAAGAGAAAGGAGATGTTCTTGTGAATGTTTTGGAAATATGAGACATAGCATAGTTTCGAATGCCTGTCTATTCCGAAGACTGTTGAAGGAGTTTAAAAATTCATTGCTTTCAAAGAAATTTCGTGACATCATGTACACTGCGGAAAAAAATGAGACAGTTCTATATCCCCCGTTCTATTCTGCCGATTAACGAAATTTAAATTGCATTTTTCATGTCTCGAAAGCGCGGCTTAGGACATATGTTAGATTAACATATAGCATTGATCTAATATAGGTAGTTTGAGACAAAATCGGACATTTTCTGAAATGGCATGCCGATTTGATTTTCCCATATTTCGGTTCTACGACTCAAATTATGCCTACTTATTATATTTTGTACAATCTGGTGCGAAATTTACGGAGAAATATCAAAATTTATGTTGGCGTATATTTTTCAGTTTGCGTCAAGAAAAATTCACTTGGGGAACTTCTTAATTTATAGCAACCTGTTTTCCTTTCCTTTTTTTCATTGTAACCGAGTGGGAAAAAAGCCATCGTTCATTATTTCAAATAATTTTAGCAAAGTGCATAAACCACATTTGGCGTTATAACCGCTCATAACAAATATGCCAAATTTTAAAACGCGCCAATATGTAAATTCACGTATATCCTAGGAAGTTTTGAATAAAAATCTCAAATTTTTTGCAGGTATGCTTATAAATACATCTACTTTAAGATGATGATAAAAATTCTATAGGTTATAATTAAAAATTTGTTTCGAAAATTTATAAAAATCATTTAAAATTACAAATTTTAAGAATAAATTATAAAAAATGGGCGAATTTTATTTGGAATGTACCTAAATTTTGAATTCTGGAAGAAGGAATCATGAACGTTTAATAAAAAGAGATATTAATAAATATATATTAAATTCAATTAACATTGAGGAGCTAAAATTTTGAGAACTAATTTTGTAAAAACTACTCCTGCGATTTTTACAAAACTTGGCATAAACTGAGCCGTAGAATTGAAGTATAAAAAAACGTTGGCATGTCTTTTAAAAAAAAGTCCGATTTTGCGTCAAAACACCTATATTAGAACAATGCTATATATATATAAATCTAATACGTATCCTAAGTCGCGCTTTCGAGACATGAAAAACGCAAGTTGAATTTCGTCAATTGGCCCAGTAGAACGGGATATATACAGTGGATGGACAAAAATATGGAAACACCTTCTGAAATGCATGTTTGAAAAGAAAGATTGATTTTAATGAAATATGTAGGTGGCGCTGGCGTTTTTGACTACTGACGCCACCTATACAACTTCGTAAATGTGCTAAACAGTTCAGTTGTTGTCGGAGTACTGTCATGTGAGGTTGTCATTGCATTATGTCAGAGTTAACAGACTTCGAACGTGGGCAAATTGTTGGAGCACGTATGGTAGGTGCTCCCGTAAGCAAGGTAGCCGAGGTGTGTAGTGTTTCAAGAGGTACTGTATCGAAGATTTGTTCCGCATATTTGAAAAGCGGAAAAACATCATCTGCTAAATCACAGCGCGGACGAAAGTGTGTCCTGAGTGATCGTGACAGACGATCATTAAGGGCAATTGTGACGAAAAATAGGAGGACCACAGCTGCAAAAGTTACTGCTGAAATGAATGTTGTGTTACCGAACCCTGCGAGTAACAAAACAATTAGAAGGGAGCTTCATAAACACTGAATTGCTGGCCGTGCTGCAATTGAGAAGCCACTCATCAATGATGCTAATGCCCGTAACGGGAAAAGGTGGGGTTTAAGTCATAAAGCCTGGACTATAGAGCAGTGGAAGCGAGTAATATGGTCTGACGAGTCTTCTTTCACATTGTTTCCCACTTCTGGCCGAGTTTACGTCTGGAGAACGCCATCTCAAGCCTATAATACAGACTGCTTGTTGCCAAGAGTGAAACATGGCGGGGGTTCTGTTATGGTTTGGGCAGCAATATCGTGGTTCTCTGCTAGCCCCATGATAACAGTGTCAGGGCACATGACTGCCAAGACTTATGTGAACATTTTGGCCGATCAAGTTCATCCCATTGTACAAACCTTGTTCCCCAAAGGTGATGGTGTCTTCCAAGACGACAAAGCCCCTGTTCACACAGCTCACATTGTCCAGGACTGGTTTTCTGAGCACGAGGATGAGTTGTCCCATCTCGCCTGGCCACCACAGTCACCAGACCTGAATATTATCGAACCTTTGTGGTCTACATTGGAACGGAAAGTGCGTTCTCGTTATCCACCGCCAACATCGTTATGAACTTGCCACCGTTTTGCAGGAAGAATGGTATAATATTCCCTTGGCAAACATACAGGAACTGTATTTATGCATTCCGAGAAGACTGCAAGCTGTTTTGGATGCCAACGGGTTTCCTACACCATATTAAGCAAAGAAACGTGTTTTTTTAAAGGTGTTTTCATATTTTTGTCCAACCCCTGTAGAACTTCCCCCACCTTTTTCTTTCGCAGTGTACATGTAAGTAACATGCATTTTATTTTATATTACAAAGTTTGTAATTAAGTGTTATTTGACGGAGTGGTTGGTAGCTCTCATCAGTCTTGAAAGAGGAAGTTTAAGTCTGTAAGTAGTTAATATTTTTTGAGTTATTTTAAAGCAGTATGGGGCTGTTCTGCTGTTTGTGAGCCTGTATGGTCCAGTGTCATTATTTAATGTCACGTTTTATAGCTCTACAAAGCCCTGTTAAATTCCTAATAGTGGTACAGGTAATTTTGATCAATCATAGCATACAACAAAGACGTAAAGTAATATTCTGTACATCGTTGTTTCTAGATATGATAGCTTCTTTCAGACTGAAATGTTTCTGAAACTCTTGGATATTACAATGAAAAATCCCACATCGGCACATAAAAAAGTAACAGTATTTCGTCTGCACATTCTGGATAATTCCTTCGTCCACTGATTGTATAAGACTTGTTATGCTATGCGTAATATGTTCGAAATAATTTTAAATTAATCTTTTATTGCTTAGTAACAATAGTTATGTTAAACATAAAAACAGCAAGTAGTTTCAATTATCATGCTAAGCAACGGTGTGAACCGTGCATGCAAATCATAGCTGAAGAATCGAACAGGTGATGCCAAAAGATAATAAAAAATAAGCTTAAGAAAACTATATGGCATGTAGTCATTTACAAAGTACAATAAAATGAGAAATCCTATTTTCACGGATACTTCTGAAACGAGGTTTCGATTTGAATCTAAAAATTTTTCGTTTCAGACTTTTAATTATTTTCTTGAAAAGAGGGATAGAACGAAAAAAAATACTGAAGAGGAAAGTGTAAACACACCTCGAAAATTGACATGAGATCCTTATAAAATGAAAAATAAATAATATGTATTTTTATTAATTATTAATATTTTGCGATCATCTGTAGAAATTATAAAAATGCTTTTATAATTTTTATCTATTTTCGATTTGAAGTCATTTAGTTATAAAAACTAAAATTGTTCATGAAACAAATTATATTGTCTCCCCTAAAAGCATGTTTTAAAATAAACCAAATATGTGTACTTAAATCTTTTAAGTGCTGTTTTCAGCGGAAATTTAAATCTTAATTAACTGCTGCTGCCATCTATGAACAGTATTCAGAAGTATTTGCAACTCAAAATTGCATTATCGCTTTAGTAATGTCGTCATTTGATAATTTTTGGAGCTGAATTTCGAGTTCGAGTTAAAACAGTTAATGGAGAGATGGTACGACCCATTCAGAAAATTTTCCCTGTGGATATTTTTGCATCAGTTCAAAAGGGCTCGAACAAAAGCGAAAGCATTAGAGGATTTCGAGTTAAAACAGTTTATGGACAGATGGTACGATCCGTGAAAAAAAATTTTCCTTTGAAAATATGAGTTGAAGAGGATCTGCATTAAGAAGGGAAACATTCCTTGCCTTCCTACTCCACAAATGAACCCAAAATTTGTCACGACAAGAAGTAGAAAGACTGTTATGTTTACCTTCTAGACTTTTGGACTGCATATTTTAATTCAATTATTATTTTGAACTGAAAACTTTATTTCATATTTGATCACTAATTCTATATTATAATATAACCAGCTTATAACGAGCCCTGATTAAACGAGAAGTCGTATTTAACCAGAAATTCGAAAATACTTGGTTAATACAATGTTCTATTGGAGTATAACTCGATTTTTAAAGAGCAAACTCGGGTTACAGCGAGCAATGTTTTTGTGATTCATAAAATTTCTATTGACTTCTCCAGTTCAGCTAATATTTTCTTGGCAAGTTTCTTTAACATTCCGAAGTTAACCGAAAATTACTGATGAGTTATAAATCCTGTGAACACGTGACGGCGGCCTTTTTACTTCGAAGTAAAAAGATGACGCTGTAGTGTACGCAGAAAAAAGGAAATATTGTAATCGAGAAAAGTTTCAGGCAGCATATTTCAACGAAAATATCCATTTTGACCGCTATCGAATGCAGTTTAACGATGTTTTCTAACGATGTTTAACGATCTGTACGTAAGGACAGAATAAAAGACTCGTTTCCTCCAGAAAAAAGTATAAAACTGTTTAACATTAATTCTGAAGAGAATTTTTCGCGGCGTCTGTACGAACGTATGTACGTACGTACGTACGTACCTCACATAACTCAAAAACGAGTAGCCTCAGAACGTTGAAATTTTGTATATGAGACTGCTATATAACATGTAGATGTGCACCTCGTATTTTGGTTGCAATCGGCCGCGCCAAACTTATATAAATATGTTTATATATATATCCACTCTGTTACCCGGCTCAGTGATCTCAGTTTCTTTACTCTTATATGTTGGTAAATTGTACATTTTTTGCTTTAAAAATGATTGAATTATGTTGTTTTTATCTTCCGGTTAAGGATTTTATGCCTTTAGTAAATCTGTGTGCAATATTTTTAGAATTATCAACAATTTTAAAGTTGTTTAAGTGCCGCTAAGCCTTTTTTTTTTTTTTTTTTTTTTTTTTTTTGACGGCGGCCGTTGATGTTTACATTTGAAACAGGAGATTAGTGGATTTGTTGCCAATCTAGAGAAACTTAGCTTCGCAACAACAAAGATAACGCCTTCATTTATTATTGCCAATTAAATCATGCTTAATCCTTTCTGGAATTTTTTTGAGGAAATAAGTGTTTAAGATTTACTTCGTAATTTTTAATATAATAATAATTTGGCCTTCTCGCGAATTGAGAACTGAATTAATTGAATGAGAAATACTCAATCGTCTGTGAAAAACTGTTTCTTTTTTGTTTTGTTTGCTTAATTTCTTTTATACATCATTCTAGCTTTATTACAGTATTTGAATAGAACATGTGGCAACGATTAGATAATTCTATTCTTTAAATGATATAAAGTTTGTGCCTTATGAGTTATAATATGAACGAAATATAATACTGTTAAGTGAATCTAGCGCCAGAGTGTCGCTATGGTAAACAAATACTAGAGTGAATTTTAAAGAATGCATTTATTCTATTGTGGTTTATGCGCTGTCGGCAAAGTAGATTTAATTCAATCCAATAAGTTTAAATGAAATGGAAGAAAAAGTGCGTATAATTTAATATTCCGTACAAGGAAGTCATGTGGTGTATACATCAGATTTTTTATCTTAAGGGAGTGATGAGGATTGAATTTTAGGCACCGAATTCTACAAGCGTTGTCCAGCCTAGGGACCTAGGAATCATCAGAAATTTTAAATCAAACCTTCATAAGCACTTAATTTTTAATTTTAATTTTTAAGCTACCGAAAATATGTGGGATATTTCATTGCTGGATATCAAAAAAGAACATTTTAACAACATTAACGGTTAGGTTCAGCAATAAACTACCTTCTGATGAAGAAAGCGTAGCCAGACTGTCTTTGGAAATGAATAGAATATTAAGTTTGAAATAACGCCTCTTTAAGGTTGAATTTTGATAATTTTAAAGTTTAATTTAACATGTTTTTCTTCGAGGAACAATAAGATAAATTACAACAGCAAAATGAACAATATTAAAACTTGTCATCTTCAAATAAAATCTTACTCGTGATGGTTGTCGTGAAACATAGAATCCGGTTGCCAAGGCCACAGAGCTTTTATTTTGACACCAGAATGCCCGATGACGCTGTAGTAGTATTCATACAACACAAGGCCAATAAATATAGCTAAAGAAGAATAATAAATAAGATAAAATATAACCAACTAAGAAATAAAATATAAGATAAAAATTGTCTATTGAGGGAAGGGGAATGCATCGACTTCACCAAAAATACTAAACTAGACATTTGCAGCATAAAAAGTAACATTTACAATAAATCTCACATCTATAAATAATAATTATAATTATAATACCCAGCATCAGCGTACACACAAAAATATAAAGGAATAAATAAATAAAAATAAAATTTATCAAGAAAAATTGAGTGACATAAATAAGTAAAACTTTGTAAGACACATTCTGTAAAACACTGTACAGTGTGTGTATGTGATTATGGCAAAGCCTCGAGGGCTATCTGCCTAAAGAGGAGGGATGCCTTCGTGGAGGACTTTCTAAGGGAAACTGGCTCGTATACACGTTACACATGGGGAAAAACCACGAAAACGCCCATGCAGCCAGCCCGTTCGCGGGATTCGAACCTCGGACCGAACTAACTACCAGTGTTCAGCGACTTTACCGCTCGGCCGCTGGTGGGCGGTAGTTTCAATAGAAGTCATAGCTTTTTTATGTGGTATTAGATAGTTGTATATGAAAATACGAAGAGAACGAAGAAGTAAGATATTTTATACTGGAAAGCATTTGAGATGTGACAGGTGGATAAGAAGGAACGTCGTCTGGAGGGGCAGAAAAAAATAGGACCTGCTAATCAGAAGAAATTCGATTCGATAAGAACTTACTTCAATTTGTAACATTTTGTGCTACCTGTAACATCTTAACTTAACTACTATTTGTACATAGCACTCTTCTTGAACTTGATATGTTGTTAAAATGTCTAGAAAGCGGAAGACAACTTCAGTAAAAGATAAAATTGAAATTTAGAAAGCAATTTTCAAGAATGCAGGACTGGAAAAAGTAGAACTAGTATTAATTGCGTATTGTTGAAGCAATTCTAAAAACAACTGGTTCTGTTATATCACGGTACTAATTTATTATGTAGAAACTGGTTGCCAAGTTTGGTTTGGTTTATTTAATTATGGCAAAACACACTAGGGCTATCTGCCTAAGGGGAGAGATACCTTCGTGGAGGACTTTCTAAAGGAAACTGGCTCGTATACATGTTACACATGGGAAAAACCACGTAAACGTCCATGCAGCCAGCCCATTCGCGGGATACGAACCTCGGACCGAACTACTAGTTTTCACTGGTTGCCATGTTGTATCCTTTTTAAATTAAAAAAACTATTGAATTCATTAGATGAAATTAAATAATGATTAATAACTATTTCGTATAGTGAGCACATCCATATCAATATAAATGTAATAATAGTCTAAAGTATCCAAATAACTCATCAGTGAAACTTCGAAGTAAATACTAAATTTAACCGTTCTAATTCACATTTGTTGCCTCATTTAAAAAGGAAATATTATACTACATAATAGTTATCTAGTAAAGCAAATTCATTTTCAGACAGGAGTAAACATACGTTTCACGCATATACTATACATAAATAATATGGGTAAAATTCACATGCTTCGAGGCAGGAGCCCACATTATACTCGTTCTTCTTCACAGATAGTCCTTATTGAGGATGAACAGAACACTCATTTTGTTACTGATCTTTTTGGATTGGAAGTTCTCGTCACGCCATCGAGGAGGCCTGGAGTTGAAGCAACATCAAATATTCTCAGATATACCCACGGCGAATGCCCTGATAGAGCTCGTGTTCCTGCTTCTGTGTTTTGTAACCAATTCCAGGGTTTGGTGAACACGAATTCCACTGCTCTTGATAAATGTGTTCTAAAGCATGTTTTGAAAAATATGGTTCTTGCATATTTTTTTTATTTCTCCAGCATATTTTAATCTGAAGCCAGTAGTAAATAAACATGATTTAAAGGCCCTATCGGAATGAACAGTCTCTCAGATTCTTATACGAGTCTGCCAGATTTTTTTACTAGATAACCGAAGGTCATAATTTCTAAATGATTCCCGGTAGCTGATTCAGTAAACCGCCATTCCCATCTATAGTATCCCTGGACTATTTTGATGTATTCATCCGTCTTAAGAAACGCGTTATTTCGCTTAGGTTGTTGCTAGTAGCTTTCATTTTCAACATTTGCCAAGAATGTGTGCCAATCATTTCATTGCACTCTAATCTGTACTAAGATTTGTTCTGTAACCTGTTGTCTACCAGTCATCTTTCACCGGTAACTCATAAAAATGCATTTCCTACCATACATTGGTGGGATATTTTTGTTTATTTACGCATGTATAGTACCTTCCTCTCACTTCAGCTCTCAATTCCGAAATACCAAGTATAGTCTTGTAGAGTCATTCGGTTTTGTTTGAAGCAGGAGACATGAAAAATGCGCAAAGTCCTCTCTTGGAGCCAAACTCTGAACATCTGGAATACGCGTCGAATTACATTTCGAATTACATGCAGAAAGGAGGGAAAAATATCTTATATGCTTCATTTTTTAAACGGCGATTAGAAACTAGAGGACTCACTCGCCAAACCCTGGTGCGATGTATTATCGTCCACCACCTTTTCGCTCGCCACTTGTAGAGTCATTAAGTTGTTTTGAAACCTAAATTTTTAACCTAACCTTGTAGGGTTTATATTTATTTTAACTAACATTTATTTTAAGTTTAAACTACCTTTCCTGTCAAGCCTTACTTTCCCTTGGAATTGCCAATGCCAGAGTATGTAAATTTTAGTAGAACGCGCAAAGTATTCAATTTTCAAGCAGAAGTAATTTGAGTTAACTAGAAGGGAAACGAGTTCGTAAGTGTGCTTTCTTGCTTCACGAGCGTGAAGGTGGCTAGGTAGAAATTAAAGAACCGCGCGTTTCCGGCCTGTGTGCTTGCCTCGGCAGATAGTTGAATCTCTCAACTTAATATTCAGAAAGTTTGCTGAAATATCAGCTGTATCTTAGAACGCGGTTAGGTTAGTTACGTTTAGAGAGCCTCGTAGGTAGTAACTTGTTATTTTATTTTTTTTAGTTTCTTATTTTTATTTTACCGCGGGTCGGCCGTAGTTTGTGAGCGTCAAGTGCACGCATCTGTAACTTCTAAAGTAGAATAGAAAGGGAGTTAAACCCTTCTTACGAGTTTTGTGTACTTTCCAGTTCATAGCAGTCACTATAATTGTTGCGTGTAGGTTGGGGCCGCACAACACCACAACCTAAAACGCCAAGTTAACCTAAACCTTTTTCTTTTTTTTTAGATGTGAAAAATACGCAATGCTCTCGCCGAGATTCGAACCTCTAACTGCTGAAAAGAGAGAGAAAATACCTTAGTCTTTTCAAGAAGTTAACTTCCCCCCCCACACTCTTTGCGCAGTTTATCGTAGATAAAGAAACAGATATCTTTTATTAATAGATAGGAAAATTTTACTTGCTATACTCACCGTAATGGACAGGAATCGTAAACATAGGAATAAAAATGGCTGATTGTAAAATGACGAATTCCAAAGGGTGCATTGCAGTAGATGAGAAAGCCGTGGGTTGCTTGTAGCGATGGTGATACTTGTGGTATGCCTTATACACAGCAGGCAGATGAAACATACGATGATAATAATAGAAGAGGGCCTCCTGTGATTAAAAAATTGAGTTTAATCATTAGGACTATTTTAAACAAAGTTTTAAATTGGAACAAATATTACGTTATATTAATTTATAAAATTTCAAATGGGAGAAAGTTATTTATTTCATATCGTACGTATTATTAGGTAGATATTTTAATTTTAGTTCAATATTTATATCGGGAAACAATTTATAAAACTACCTACAAATAGATTTTTTTCTACCTTTGGGAATTTTATAGCCATCGCTTTTTATAGCCAACAAATTTTAAGGAATGGTTTCCCTTAATAGCCTCTTCTTTACGCCGTATGTATTTCACTAAATACCATTCCAGGTGGTGAGGGGCTGTGGCCCAGTGCTTGCTGTTACGCCATCTTGCGGATCCTCACATTCTTTCTGCGTTTTGTGCACGTACAGGGATCAACAAAATAAATATGTATGATTAACAGTTTTGTGAATTAATCTAGCTTTTTCTAGTTCTTAAGTTTTATTTTCGGACTAACATTTTGAATGGATACTACTTTTTCTCTTAACAATCGGATTTATTTTCTGCGTTAATACAGTTGCACTTCTGTTGGGAACAGTGGCCACAAACATTTATCTCGATTCCCTTCAGATTCCTCCTACAACCCATTCCAGTGGTAAAACATATACAGCATTCTATTTTCTCATTTTAAAGAGACGTCCATGAATTTCAATGATTTAATTTTTTCCACCAATCATTTCTTCTTTTCCAGACTCTATACTAATAACGCATATCTCCAAATACTAATAACTCTTCCAAACAAAATTTAATATTCGTTTATTCTTAACTCCAGCAGTACGTAAATCTGATTACTGTGGTAAATGGCAGACGACTATTCTTGAACCAATTACCACTCCGAAAAACTGACGTGTTGGTTATACCTTTCACGTTCCATTTTCAAAAGGTTTGTTTTCCAAAACATATCTTCATCCAATGCGAATCTGAATATTCCCGTCTTTGTGGCAAAATATTATATTCCTGTAAAAATGTCATAGAATTTTCTTTGTTTGCAGGCGAGTCCCACAAGCACGCATTTCAGAATTCAACTGAAAACTAAAAGTAACGCAACTGGTCTTTGGAGCTTCTAATACAACCAAAACAGCATGTACACTGCGGAAAAAAAGTAAAAAAAAAAAAAAAAAAAAAAAAAAAAAAAAAAAAAAAAAAAAAAAAAAAAAAAAAATTGGGCAGTTCCATATCTTTTGTTCGTACTGGGCCGATTGACGAAATTCAATTTGCATTCTTCATGCCTCGAAAGAGCGATATTAGATTTATGTAGAACATTTATTCTAACATAGGTATTTTGACACAAACCCGGATTTTTTCTGAAATAACATATCATTTGTTTTCCATATTTCGATTCAACGGCGCAAATTATGTCTAGATATTAAATTTTGTAATTTTAGGTGAGTAATTTATCGAGAAATTTAAAAATTTATATTGGCGCAATTTTTTCAGCTTTCGCCGAGAGTAATTCACTTGACGGGATTCTTAATTTATAGTAAATCTACTTACTTTCCTTTTTCTCATTGATGCACAAGAGGAAAAAAGGTCCATCGTTCATTCTTTCAAATAAATTTAACAAAGTGTGTAAACCACATTTTCGTTATTTTCGCTTATATTAAATATGCCAAATTTCATAACGCGCCAAAATGTAAATTCACGTATATCTTGGGAAATTTGGGATAAAAAATTGTAATTTTTTGCAGATATGCTTAGAAAATGCATCTACTTTAAAATGATAATAATTTTTTTTTAATTTATAAAAATTATTTAAAAATACAAATTTTAAAATTAAATTATAAAAAATGGATGAATTTTATTTGTAATGAACTTAAATTTCGAAATGTAAAAGGAAAAATCAAATAAGTTTAATAAAAAAGAGAGATTAATAAATATGTGCCAAATTCAACTAACATAGAGGAGCTAAAATTTTGAGAGCTAATTTCTTAAAAACTACTCGTGCGATTTTTGTAAAACTTAATAGTTTGGCATAATTTGAGTCGTAAAATCGAAACATGGAAACAAATTGTCATGTCATTTCAGAAAATGTCCGATTTTATGTCAAAATACCTATGTTAGAATAATGCTATATATAAATCTAATAGATATCCTTAGTCGCGCTTTCGACACGTGAAAACGCAAGTTGAATTTCGTTAATCGTCCCAGTAGAACGGGATATGTAGAACTGCCCCATTTTTTTTTTTTGCACAGTGTGCAAAAATGGCGACGCTGCAAATTTAAACCTTGAGTTACTTATATGGTTACAAGCAGAATTGTCGTGTGTATGGTTGCCACAGTTTGGCGACTTCTGAAAATTTGGCTACTTCTACCAATGTGGTTGCGATAATACTAAAGTACCATCTGTCAAATTTGTTTTAAAATTTTCTGCTGTCAAAATTATGCTAGATTTTTTTTAAAATTACCAACGCGTTTTCCTTACAGCTTTCCATAGAAAAAGCACTTTCTAATTTGGGTAAAGATTTGTATTTTAATCAATTTTACCTCGCTACTTCAAAGGTAGCGCTTTCTCAAATTTTCTTCGTGTCCTGAATACTCTCTAGCTGTCTACACCTTTATTCCCTCAGAAACATATTCAACTTAAAGATACGAATTCTTTCTTATTGCTGCACTTTGCTTAACATTTCAATTCGTACTCTTATTGACAGCGGAAGCAATCGCGGTCAAAATGCAACTGACAACATTACATCAATTTTAAAAGCTGTAAATATCATATTTTGTAAATTAAAATTCAGAATTATATTTTAACACAGTAGTTATGAAAATAAATTTCATAAAACGTTTTTAAATAAATTAAAAAAATTATTTAGTACTTACAGTAACAAGGTACACTAAAGGTATGGAGAGCACAAGGTAAGGAATGCCATAATCATGAATGTTGTAATACAAGGCAGTGTAACCACCATTCATAGTCCAGCATGACAAAAAGCCAGATATGACACTGCCTGAAAGAAAATATAAAAAGTTTTTAATTAAATGATGCTCTTTTGTACATAAAAATAATGTATGTAATTTGATTTCATCCTGGTTTCCAAACATTTGTAAATAAGTGTTAGGAAGCCAAAGTTCATAGCTTATAATGAAGACTGTAATAAGTGAAAGAGATACAAGCCAGTCTGAAAACAAATTTCAAAGCTTAAAAATTATCATTAAAGAATTTAAATATTAGTCAAAGGAAAACAATTAATAAAAAGAGCAAGCATTGTTCGTCTTTAAATCATACTTTTAATTTCAGTTTTGTTAAAACTATAATAAACACATCTTCAGTTGATGACAAATAGAACTTTTTGAAACCATTTATGTTCACCAAAACTTTCTTCAATGATTTTCAACTTTGTTTAACGGTTATTTTTAACTTTGTTTAACGGTTATTTTTAACTTTGTTTAACGGTTATTTTCAACTTTGTTTTTAACTTTGTTTAACGATCATTTTCAACTTTGTTTTTAACTTTGTTTAACGATCAAATTTGCTTAAGACTAGATTGCATTGTAGAAATTGATGAAAGTTTGTTTACGAAGCGTAAAAATAATTGTGGTCGAGTATTACTCGAACAGTGGGTGTTTGGTGGTATATGTAGAGAAATAAAAGATTCGTTTGTTGTCACTGTTTTTAATAGAACTGGCTCTATCCTTCTTAGTAAAATTATTGAAAACATTGCAGATGGTAGCACAAATTTATTCTGACAGTTGGAAAGGTTACCAAAAAAATGGAATAGAAAAAGAAGGATTCCTACGTGCTAAACTTAATCATAAATACAATTTTATTGATTATGATACAGGAAGTTCATACACAAACAGTGGATCAGTGCTAAATGGAGAAACAGGAAACATAGGGGGACAGCGAGACATCGTTTAGAAAAATCTTACTTAGCAAAGTTCATATGGCGGCAGTATCAGGTCAAAGAAAATAGAGACTGCTTTGAATCCATGTTAAACTCTATATCGGCCCATTTTCCACCGAAATTCAATTGAATTTCGATTGAAATTCGATTGAAGTAACAAATCAGAAATTAAATTTTCGCAAAATTTTGTAGATTTGGCGGCACTTAAAAACCGCTAAATAATGCAGCTGCGGTACTTATGGTTAATACGTAAGTACCTTGATCATTTTCAACTTTGTTTAACAATCAAATTTGTTTAAGGATTTTATTCCATCCCAGAATTTAGAAATTTCTTGATTCATAATGTTTAATATTTACTTCGTTTAGAAGATGACGTTCAAATTATTGCTTTATTTATTAGTTTATTACTTCCTTTATTTAAATGACGCATTTTCGGCAACTGGCTCAAAATATTTTTATCTTCCAGAAGCATAACCTGCATTCATTTCCTCAAAATGCATAAATATTTTCTAAAAATTTAATAATAATTAACGTCTGACATTTACCCTGTTATTAACTACAACACATTAATGTAAAATATGTGTGCAGAGTTCTCCGTTATTTCATTCTATAGTTTCTGTGGAGCATAAGTTTGCTTAGAATTTATATATAAATATGCCATTGTTGATTTTGCAGTTAGTTTGTAGTTGTAAAACTATATACCCCCAAAACATGTAGAGTTAAAAAAAACACTCATTGGAAATTGATTTATTAAGTATTAATTAAGGATTGAACTTAATTTAAGGGTTGAAGAAAATAGTTAGCATCTCTTTTGTTTAAGGTTTTGCTTAAACGTTCAGATGCAATTGATCGTATGCCTAAAGCAGCAAAATAACCGTAAATTGCTTTAAATTTTTCTACCGGCTTTCACCTCTACCAGAGGCTGAGCGGTAAAGTCGCTGAACACTGGTAGTTCGGATTGAGTTTCGAATCCTATCGAAGGGGCTGAAAGCATGGACGTTTTTGTGATTTTTTCCATGTGTAACGTGTATACAAGCCAGTTTCTCTTAGTTGCTCCATATTCTATCATATACTCTCTTCTCAGTTGCTCCATATTCTGTCAACTGTTTGTGTCCTTCAGGAAGTCCTTCAGGAAGACATTCCTATCTTTAGGAAGATAGCCCTCGAGTGCTTTTCCGTAATCAAATAAACGACACCAACCCCTCGACTGTCGTGCATGGAATTTTCGTGGTTTCTTTTCCTTCGTGTAAAATATATAACAAGCATTTTCTTTTAATAATAAACAAATAAGAGGAAATTTTCCATCCAAGCAATCCTTCTGTTAGGCAGGTGGATTTTGATCAAAGCAGAAATATAGTGGACCTAAACAGCATTGTTTATATCAAAAACAGAGCATCCAGAGAATGCGAAGATACACACATAACACCTATACGCAGTCGAGACGAATGGAAGTATACGAAATTCCAAATAAATGAAAATTCGACTTACATAGTTAATATTATTTTTGAATAATACATCTCAGCATTCGGTTCGAGTTGTTAAAAAATTATCCATTGTCGAGTACTCGAAGAATATTTTTCAAATTACCTGTAACTGACGTTTCGAGAATTTAATATTCTAATACTCGATTACGTATGGAATGTAACTCAAAATTTTGAGTAGCCATCTAGAAAATTCTGTATTTTCTACAGAGAGGCTGCCTGAAAAGTTTCATAATTTTTAAGATTGGTTTTTTTATACAGATTTATATGATTCTAAGGGTACTGTATTTTTTAATTTCCAAAACACTTTCATATTTAACTAAATTTTTATTTTAATTTATAAGCGATCCAAAACATGAAATATTCTTTTGAATAGTATATGAATTCATCTGTGACATCCTTTTCAGCATTTCGGCCATAGCATTTGGTTGTCTGAAGACAAGCACTTAAAATACAGTTGCCGTTTTCAATGTTAAAAAAGTAAAAATCTGCTGGAGCTAAGTTCAGGCTATATGAAAAATATTCTCGTGATTTTCATCGATTTCAGGTATTACTGTTAGGTTTGCAATAGCAACATGCCACCATGCATTGCTGAAGAGTAAAAGCCACTGTTGCTCTTTTCATTTTCACGTCTATATGCAAATGAATTTTAGAGCCATATGCATAACAGTCACCATTCACTAATCGGCCATGGTTTACAATGTTGGCATCCATAACAGCAATGAAGGACATAAAAGAATATTCATGTCCTTCATGTTCCTAATTACGTATATAATAAATTAATTACGTATATTTCTTCTTTTCACGCTCGTTAACGGTTCGTGGATTTGGAGTGAATAACGACGACACTTGAAGAAGTATCGAAACACAATTTATTGACCAATATTATTCAAGAAATCTCCAATAACACGCTTGCAGTCGTCGAAGAACGACTATAAACATGCTGTAACAATCAGCGACACAGCCTTCAGGCTATTAGGCTATAACGATGAAGACAGCTTCATGGCAAACACAAGAGTACAGCTCTCGACTCTGCCCGGTCGTTCTCGGAAAGTCCACGTACTCTTGAGACTCCCCACGTTACAACGATGCTCTACGCTACGATGCGATGATACACTAGAGTACAGCCCCCGATTCCTCGGTTCAGTCGTTCCCGGAGCTCAACACACTCTAAGATAATACTCAACTATGCACTAACTCACGATACACTAAAAGACTCGGTGCACTCGACGACCAACTCGGCGCTCACTGATTGACTGTCAACCCTATGGACTATCACTGATTAGCGATCGACTCGCTAGACGAGACACTAACTCCATACGGACTGACTCTCAGAAGAACAGCAGGGTTTATGTAGCTTTTGGCTTGTGTTCGAGAACATTCTGGGCTAAACCAGTAAGAATTCCTTCCAGAAGATTCTCCATCCGGCTATGGCATATCACCAATTTTGTCGCTAAATGGGCGATTTCTCGCCAAATGTGGCAACCCTGTCTTCCTTTGCATTTTCTGGCCCCTAAATCTGGTTTGCAGAGAAGCTATCTTGCAACGGCTGGACATTTCGTAACAATATATTATGCCAATATTTTGATTAGTATCTTCTTCTGATGTGCCTTCATTATTGGAATAATGAAGCTACGAATTGTTTCACCAAATGCCTGTCATAACATTTTAATATTCCTATCTTCCCAAATTTCAAGCAAAATTCAATCATATCGCTGTTACATATTTTCCTCGTCCATTGCAGCAAAATAAACTAGGTAGATTCATTTATCGTGACTAATACTGAAGGCCATGATTGCTAAATTGCAAGTTCGAGTATGTCAAAATATAATTTTAAAAAACTTTGTAACATACTTGCCACGACTAATATCAAGGAAGAGAAACAGATGAAATCTTTGACTTATAAATCAGCCTTTTGCATACACGCACGTAGTTATGCATTTTTTCTTTAAGATAAATGATAAGTCATTAATTAATAAACACCGCTAATTTCTACTTTTAAAAAGCATCTCATTTTCCGTTTTTCTTCCATTTCATCTTTTGTTTAAATGATGTTACATGATAGGTGCAACAGTGAAGGGTCTAAACTTTATTTCAATGATGTACATTGATTAGTTTCTTGATTGACAATAATAATATTGCAATATGCCATTTATATATTCATACCCATAAACATGCAAGCTGTTCCTAAAATTATTGCATGTTTCTCATCTTCCCATGAGAGAAATTTTTTCGGTTGACACTTCCACTCTTCCGGTCGGTCTCTCTGGCGTACGTAGAAGTACCTGAAAGAAAAATATTCATTGGTAAAAACAAAAATACCGTGATTAAAGCAATCCTTCTTAAAGTCATTAAATTTTGTAAAGCCTTATTTTAAAAAGGATAAATAGATACGTTGAAGAAGTTCAATTAATTCAGTTCTCACTTCGCGGCAAGGCAAAAATACGTAAAACGCAAAATATCTTCATTAAAAATTGCAAAATACAGCAAAATATAAAACACCAGATAAAGTTTAAAAAAAATTTAAAAAAAAAACAATTTTTACAATTAAAATTAGAGTGTCTACGCGAAAACAAGCAATTCGGCTAACATGCAAGAAGGCGGATTTTTTGGTACACAAGACTGAAAGTTTACTTTTGGTCTAACTCTGCAAAAAGTCACTGAAGTTGGTGCAGAAACTGACTTAATTCACTATTCTACTCAGAGTTTCAAAAGTAAACAAATGACGGCTTCGTTAGGCTTAGTGGCACTTAAGCAACTTTTAAATTGTTAATAATTCTACAATTATTGCATGCAGATTACCTAAAGACACAAAAACCTTAACCGAAACAAGAGAATATAAGTCAATCACTTTTAAAGCAAAAAATGCGCAATTTACCGATGTGTAATAATAAAATAACTAAATTCAAAGACCCAGGTAACAGAGGTGGAATGCATATATATATATATATATATATATATATACGTTTGATGCGGACGATTGCAACCAAAAAGGGATTTGCACAACTACATATTACAGCAACATACATGTGTACGTAGCTACTTGCACACGTCACGAAAAATTCCCTTCTGAACCCAATTTAAATCCATTTTTCAATCTGTTTTGGAACAAAGAGTCCTTTATTCTGTTTGTTGTACAGATTTCATTTAAAAGCATCGTTCAAATAGATTCGAGAGCAATCAAAATGGATATTTTCTTTGAAATATGATACCCAAAAATTTTCGCTATTCCAATACTTCCTTTACTTCGTACAAGGAATTAAAAACTTAGAATGCCATGAGAAACTTCACTGTATGAAGGCCTGTCACTGCTTTCTTTTATTATCATCATCACTCTGATGAAAGAAAAGGTGAAGAAAGGTTATGATGGATATTGTCTATGCACCTTTGCACTCATCATAATACTATTCGAGAATAGTGATTAAGGTATGGCAATACATATCTGGAATAAATGCCTTTACAGTAGATCTGATTATTTTAATCTGTCTATGAAACTTCTAAAATTGAGCAGTATTTCTGAGAATATAATGAAAAAAAAATATTGATCATCATTTATTTCATTGATTCCTTTTCTGTAAACTGTCCACAACCATAGAAGACAAAATTGAAAATTTTTTAGTCTTTTAGTTATGAAATAGTCATTGGAAGTATAATATTCTAACTTTTAAACTCTTGCCAGTTTTTTCTTGTATTTTCAATTTAATTTAAAAATAATAACTTACCATTGCAGGAATCCACAAAGACCAAAATACAGAACAAGAGATTGCGTCACTGAAGTCAAAATATAATAAGGTAATCCTTTGAAACGCAACTGCAATTGAGACATCAGGCCGAAAGAACTTTCTTGACTGTCTTCCTTCGGATACTCATAAAACTGTCTTGCAAGATGGGACAAAATGAGCAGCCAGTCACCTAAAATATCATAAAAAGGCTTTTATGATATACTATAAATTAACATTTTGTATGTGATGATGGTGTTAAGAACAATTTAATACCAAATAAAAAGCCACTAAACAGAAATAAATAAACAAAATACTATTTTGCATTCAATAAAAGAAAAGGAAAAAAACGTCGTTACGAAGAAGAAATGAAAAAATAATAATAAAACAGGAATTATAGTCCTGTAAACGAGATTTTAATATGATGAATTTATAGAATATTTACCTCATGGGAGTATGGAAGCCATTATTATTCTGCAACGCATAGATTACAAGGACAGTCTTTCTAATTGCTCCAGTTCTCGTTTTGACCGTTTACTGCCCTAAGCTGCTCTACCTCATTTATTTTAAGACATCAGTACAAATTTTGAGATGGAATGGCTGGGAATGACCTTAGAATAGCTGGACAAAGGCCGTAGAATGAAGGATTTCGTACGTTGCAGCAACGTGGTGTCCACTAAAATACACGCAGCATGAAGACGAGCAGCTATGTCACTTTCTTCAAAAACTAAGTCTCAATAAAACAACTCCCTCAGTTGGTTCCGCAGGAAAGAAACCACAAGTTTTTAAATCTAGTGATTGTAGCCAGCATATAACCGGACCTCCACGTTCGATCCAGTGGCTGGGCATTCCATATCTAGCCAATCACGTGCAGAAGCGCTGAAATGCGCCAGAGTTCCATCATGCTGCAACCATAAGTGATGTAATGCATATGGCGTCATATTTTTCTTTCGCATTTTTCTCAAAAAATACAGGTCCTGCAGGTACAGTTTCTTAGACAGTTTTTATGCATTCCAAGAGTCAGGAATCTGACTTGCAGAGTTTTGGCTGTCTTGATGAGACCCCCTGTATTTGTACGATCGTTAATCAGTTAGATATATCTGCCTTATATATTAATGGAAGCTGCCAAGAAGTTTCCACTAATAAGGCAAGGCATGCCTGTCCTAGAATTTAAATTACGTTTCTGATTATTGTTTATCTCATTTATGGACTCAATATGTAATATATTTTTCCCTGAATCCGCAGTCAGAGTTTTCTCAATCAAATATTTCGGAAATTTGTCTTTCGACTTGGATAAGAAGTCCTGCCTGCTAAGCAAGTAGAGTTAAGAATTATTTTATTAAGCACTCACTGAAGCATGAACCCTGTCGAAATTTTCTCATTTACAAATTTCGTTACTTTACAACAATCGAAACGAAGAACTACCTAATATTTGGGTAGAATTTTCAACTTCCCATCACTAAAAACAGAGAGAGAAATACCATTAGAAGTTTTATTGCAAATTGAAGCAAGAAGTATTTAACTCATTAAAGCCTGATGAATATTCAGATAATTAAAGCGTTTGTTCTATGGGGACCACATAAAAATTCACATTTTGCATTTAGACAACTTTCCTTAACACTGTGGTAATAACCCATTTTCAGAAAATTTGTCGTTGGAAGGTAATGTTTAGCCTCCTCTCTTAAGACAATAAAGCCCGTAGCTCCACTTTTTGAACATTGTGTACAAGAGTTCAGTTATCGAGCGTAAAAATCAACAACTCATAGTAATCAAAATGCTGAAAGTACCAAATAGCTAGAACTTTCCATTATTTTCTACATTCATCTATGGAATTCACATGTCGTAAAGCCCATTTTATAAAAAGCTTTAAATCTTATATAAAATGTAGAAAATGCCCAAAAGGCCACAAGCAGAAACATTTGAAATAAATTTTCTTAATGTAATATATCAATGGTCTTCAAATTAAGTTCCTCGGAGACCTGAAATTCCGTGCAGATCTTTGAAGAGTTCCATCAGTCGAAACACGAAAAGACGAAAGAATTTTTTAATCCCAGTTTCATGGCAAAATTAAATGGTTACATGCAAAAGTATTGCGGTAAAAAATCTCGACGCGGAGAAAACAAGGTAAGAGGAAAAAGCCGTCGTACAAAACAATCGTGAAAGAAATGAAAAGAGAGAGCGCAGTTCTGAAACATCGTGATAGAAAATAAAGATTTAAAAAAATTTTCAGCTTTAAAGCGTTTTTGTACAAAATTTCGTAGTAAAAATAAAGTACCTTTTAAGCCATTTTCACATGCCTTCGTGGTGTAATTGGAAGATTTTCACATCCATCTTTTCCACATGCCTTCGTGGTGTAATTGGAAGCATACTCGACACGTATTCAAAAGGTCCAGGATTCGAATCCTGGTGAGGGCGATCTATATTTCTAACGTCTCCTACTAAAACGAAAAAAAAAATCCGCAAGGTTTCAGATTTTAAATTACGTAATAATTAAGGGGCGTTTTTTTAACATTTTGTGTGTTACCTTTATTTATAAAATATCATGTGCTTCGCACTTAAACCATAAAATTCAGTTCAAGAGAAATATCGCAAAATAATTTTAAACTGAACATATCTTTAAAATTTCTGATACACAGGCTCACTCGCTGGAGATAATGTTTTTTTCTGCACAACGTTGCCATGGCTCGCTTTGAAATCCTTGAGTTTGTTAATCAAAAATTCGTTAACGCTTTACAAAATGTGAAATGAATCATAAAAGAAATTCAAAATTTCAAATTTGTGCTTCCAAATGCCCATATTCGCAGTAGGATTACGTCATTCAAAACAGGATGGCTCTAGGTACCATTCCTTTATGATAATGCGAGAAACATATATACATTTAGAAAGATTCTTCATTATATAATTTCTTCAAATATAATATAGGGCGGGCGATAATATTTGGTGGCAACAGTTTGAAAAGTAAAACGGACATTCTACATACGAGTGATTCCTCGCAAACGGACATACGAGTGATTCCTCGCAAAAACGCAAAACAAAAACAATAGTATCTCAGTGAAAGTTCCTTTGGACTGAAAAAAAAAAAAAAAAACTAATGACTGTACAGTGCCGTTCGAACTAAAAGGTGGTGGACAATAATTCATCAATAACTGGCGATTGGGTTCCCTAATACCTAGTCTCCTTTTAAGAGAGAAAGCATATAACGCATTTTCTCCCTCCTTAATCGACGTGTCAGTTCACACCAATTCTCTCAGGAATTTAGCTATTTCTTCTGCTCTTCTACTGATGTTCTCCTGTTCTAGGATTCACTTGCCGTATTTTTGAAAGCCATGCCCCCCGGGCACTCTCTCAGCCATGGAGGTAAGAAAGGACTTCCTACCTCTAACTTCCTACCTCCATGCGTTCAGGTTACTGGAAAGTGACGCTTTAATGTGGTAGAACCCCAGTATATCCACCACAGTATCCTATCTTTAATCGACGCATATTTAAAAGGTTCAGAGTTTCAGTCCCGAAGAGGGCACTACACATTTTTCACGTCTCCTGTTTAAAAAAAAAAAAACCTAATGACTCTATAACCTATAAAATCATCGCATAACGATAAAATAACAAACCTGCATTTTCTTCCAGGAATACAGAAAAATTTTAAATGAATTTTCGTCTAATGATATGTGAGCATTTCTACCACTGTATTCCGTATTTTTGTATTAATTAATATAATTTTACTTAAAATGTAAGAAAGATATTAAAGCCTTAAAAATCTGCAAATTAGTAAACCTTAATGCTACGTATAGCACATAACAGAATTTTACTAATACAGTTTTAGAAAAAAGAGTCTTTATAAATGAGATTAATTAAATAAAGACTTTTCATGGTTATCAACATAAGTTTAAAATTCTCTTAACTGCTATACGAAGTAATAATTTTGAATAATTGCCAGATTTTATATGCTTAAGTTGCTTTCATGCATTTTCAGTATACCTTCATTAGTTATACAAAAATATGGAACACAGAGATAAAAATATTACTCACTTGATTATTTGAAATTTCACTTAAAATTGTTGTTGTCAGAAAATTCTCATCCATCATGCGTTAATTTATAGATGCTTTATTTTGTACCATGATAATTTTTACGACAATGTTTTCAAACTACAAAGTTTTGCACGGCGTTATTTTCGATCAAGATGTTTTATGCGACGATATTTTAAACAGTGTTATTCTGCGAAAGTTTTCTACTATTTGCTCTTTTTCCTCCCGAGATGTTTTATACGACGGCATTTTTGATTTGCGTTATTTTCCTCGCGACGTTTTCGTTCGCTATGCTTTTCCCACTGGTTTCGGCGGACAGTAAATTAAACAACTAAAGTAATTAATCAAATAGTAATTTTTGTATGACAAAATTTCTATTTTATGAGTAAATTTATAACAAAACAGTAAATAATAATGGAAAATTTTGTTTTAACTTTTCACATAAAGCGCACGAAACATTGATATATTTCCAATAAAGATTTTAAGGCTCATTTTTCTTTTGTTGAAAGAGTTCCATCAAACAAAATTGTAGTTTTATGAATTCCCTGTGGCCGCAAAATTTGAAAAATACTGATACATATTTTATTATTGTATCCCAAATCTTATTTTTGTTTTTGATTTCGTTTCTTTTTGATTAACCCAAAAGAGTGTTAGCCCAAAAGGGCCATTAGTCTCATAACGGAGTTTTGCGTTGAATCACTATAAAAATCTGAATCACTTTTCAAATTGTTGCTACCAAATATTATCGCCCAGTGTTATATTTAACGAAGTTATATAATGAAGAAATTGCATGAATTGCATGAATGTATGCATGTTTTTCGCACTGTGAAAAAAGCAATTGTACTTACAGCCATCGCATTTTGAATAAAGTAGTCCTCCATCCGAATATGGTCACCTGGAAATCCGAATTGTGAATTTGTTTTATTGTTTATTTCATACTTTGCGAACTTTAACGAACTTTCGATTATCAAACTGAATGATTTCAAAGCGAGCAACGAAATTCGTGAATTCTAAAGATATGCTGTTTTTAAATATTTTATGTTTTAATTAAATTTAAACTTTCTTCTTCTGTACAAACCTTTCATTGTCACGCCGGCAAGAAATATCAATACGGTAGCCAAACATTTCCCAGCTGTTGGATGAAGTCTAGACCACAGCTTTCCTAAAAATGAATAGAGCGTCTTTTGGTATGATATAAAGTACCTGTCGAACGTTTTCCCAGGATGGAGTTCGTATTCTGAAGAAGCCATTCTAAAATGAAAAGTAGAAATTCGTTATATTAATTCGAATATAATGATTTTATATTAACTGTTATAGTAACAGTTGTAACAGTTTTTATAATTTATAACTTTTTTAATATATAACAGTTTATATTTATTTATAAATTATAACAGTTTTAATTTAGTTTGTCTCACGATTGACAATATAGAGTTCTCTTCTACACCTGACTACAGGCATACTATCTAACTTCATATTATTAATTGCTAGTTAAAAACTTGCTTTATTTTTAAAATAATCATTGTAAAAATTATCTTTGTAAAATGCAAAGGCCATTTTATTTCCTGCTGTTATATCTACTTTGAAAAAAATCAAAATTCAGAACCTTAATGCATGTGTACGAAACCTTTCCCGTATCCCCGTCTGTAAAGTAACCATATCCAAACGTGCAGTTGAATGTACGTATTTCTCTCTTTTTATATGAGACTCCAACACAAGATCCCATTCCCACAAAATGTCAGTCTATCGCTCTTCCTTGAAAACCAGTGGCCGCTATTTCATAATACTAATTTGAGATTTAATTGTTTATTTTATATTTAATTGTTAAAATTTTAACGGTATATTTATATTTAACGTAATACTTGAGAAATGATAAAAAAAAAGGTTACATAATATTAAAACTAATTCCTGGATATAAATCAAAAGAAAACATAGGGTAGTAAAATCACTTTAAAAAACGGCTTTATGGTCTGGCTGAATTTCGAATGAATTTCGCTGCTATCTATAATGGAATATGATTATCTTTCTGTAAAGATCTCAGTCTCGCTATTTAATTTATTAATCGATTTTTACTTTTATGGTGTATTCTATGTGTACATGAGGTTTTAAAAAGGAGCACATAAAAGGAAATTATACGTAAATAACGTTAACTATTTAGCTCACGTTCGTGACTGATAATCTCCACTTAATACCATATAATGGTAGTCTTATTAATAACGAATATGAGAGTGACATTAGGATCCCTGAGACACACTTAAATTTTTTAGAATCTATACACACCAATATAAAAAGCAAAATTTGGAGAAAAAAGACCTTTAGATAACGTATATTTTAGTATACTTCTATCGATTTCGAAGGCAAACTGATAAAGTTATATTCTCTTCAGAAGCCAAAGGAAAATTTCCGAAAACTTTTACCTTTCTGGAAACCTTCTAGGCTATCTGCACTAAACCTTTTCTTAAGCGCATTATGTTAGATACCTGCAGGTATAAATAATAAGCATTTTATATTGAAGAGAATGATGTCAGTGCAGAACGATAAAGTAGAGGATGAAATGACTTGGAGGATGATATTAGTGCAGATTATTGAGCTACTGACACTTGTCCTTCTTTTTCAGGAAGACAAATCAAGTCGCAGAGGAAACGAAGTAACATAGCTAAATGGTAGATGATGCCAAAGCTAAAATAAACAAAATTTCTCACAAAGCTCAAAACTCGCTCTTCCTAAGGTTCATATCATTGGCAATCCATTTCATCGTATGGTTTGTAACTCAGCTGCATATTGTGTTTTTACCCATTTATTTGATTAGTGTAGTTTCTTCATTATTTTTCAGCAATATATATTCTACAAGAAATTCCTTTAAATGTGTTAATTAGAATATTTCTCCCCAAAATCAAGTGCAATTTCCTTAGGTGTTTAATCCCAATTTACTGACGTACTAGTTGATAAAGTGCTAAAATAACTTTTCACTAGGCTTTGAGGATTCTATTTCATCCATACTGAAATTGAAAAGTTATTCTCTTTCTAATGTTTCTCTGAGTCAGACCCATCTTGTTTCCCGAGACAGTTTCTCCTGTCAAACTGAAAATTAACTGACACTTCATTATATAACTTCACGTATCATTCTGAGATTAAATTATTACAAAAATATATTTTCTCATCCTAGAGTCGCTAAGTTAATAGCATTTCTCATTTTAAGGATAATAAAATGGATTTACAAGGCCTATTTTCTGTCAAAAATTTAATTGTTCCAGCCAATTGGTTAAAATCAAAAATTGAATTCTCCAAATGCTGTTAGAGCATTTTATTAATAAAACCTGTAATAAAAATTCTACTTTTGACATCACAAAGATATTTTCCTAATAGAAAAAAACCACAATAAGCTTGTTGTCTTTTCTTTTTACCTTCTGTTAAATATAAAATTACTTGGATTCTTTTAATTTCATTTTCCAGGTTACTTTCTCGGCTGCTAATCATATTCGGCTCTTTAAAAATCTATTTTTCTTTTTAATTCTTTGGAATTTATAGTATTCTTTGTTAACATAGTGTCACATACTTTGTAGAGTCATTAGTTCCCCCTCCCCCCCTTTTTTTTCAGCAAGACACATAAAAAATGTGTAGTGCTCTCGCCGGGATTTGAACGACGGACCTCCGAATTCGTGTAGAGTATATTTCCAGTTATACCACGAAGGCGTGCGGTGAGGAAGGAGAAAATGCTTTACATTTTCACCCTTTATAGGACGACTGGGGATTAGAGAATCTAACAGCAAACTCCTCGTGGTGACGAATTAACATCCATCACCTTTTACTTTGGGCGCCACTTTTCAGTCATAAGGTTTTTTGATGCAAGTGAATATGAAAAATGAATAATGCCCTCCCCGGGACTCGAACCCTGGACCTCTCCAATAAGCGTCGAGTATGCTTCCCATTACACCACGAAGGCATGCTTAAAAGAGGGGAAAATACCCCATAATTAATTTCGGAGCAAAGGAAAGTTATGAGAAGAAATTTAAAAAAATACAAAAAGAGAAATTATGCTTGACTCTCTCAAACGAACTTTTTTTTGAACTTTGTAAAAACTGTTACTCATTTTCAACCTTCTTACCGAGTGCCTTCGTGGTGTAATTGAAAGCACATAAGAATAACAATCAAAAGTCCAGAGTTCGAATCTCTGAAAAGATATTGCGGAATTTTTTGTTTTCTTGGCTGCGAAAAAATTCAGTGACTCTACAAAGCATGCAATTTTTTTAATATAATGTATTATATAGAGTAGGAGAATTCTTCAATAGATATTGATTATAGATTTAGAATATAGATAATAAATATATATTGATTATAGAATTGAATATGAGGATTATTTTATAACTATTCTTCATCAATTAATTTTTCTGTGCCAACAGCATACTAAGGTAGATTTTTTAATTGAACCCTTCATTGTAAGTGTTGAAACTAATTTCATAAAAACTTTTTGCTATGTTTTAAAAAAAATTGTGACTTTAAGTACATATCTGAGATCAATATTTAAAGATGTATAGGCTTGTATATAATAACGTGTTCCTGTGACTTATCTCACCTGCCTGACAGTGACATCAGAAGTAATTCCCGAAATTTATAGTTGCCAGGAGAGCAAAATTGGCAAAGCCTTGAGCACCACGCAGGTTACAGTACGACTTCGCTCAATTCCGTCCCCAGTTTTGAAGAAGAGCACCCCCGGGAGGGACGAGTCCGGTAGGGTAAGAAGCGTCTCCCCCCTTCTTAACCTACCACAACCTCTCGAGAGGACTTCCGGCTCGCCGCATATTTAGAGTGCCCCATGCCGTACAGACCCTATACATTTACAAACATCCATGTCTCCTCTGGGATTCGAATCAGGGCCCTTCGGTATCTCAGTAGGCTTTCCTAACGACTATACCGTCTGGGCGGCTAATGTGTTCCTATGTGCAGTCATTAGAGTGAAAGCTCATTGTAGCGTTCACTTCGCTACGAGTATAGTAAAAAATGTCTTCAAATGAGCATATTAAACTCCTTTTCATTGCAGAAACCTCTTATTATAACACGCTTTTTCTTTGGGACGAGAACAGTCTTTATGACAATCGTCAACTGTCTCGTCTTTCGCCTTACAGTACGGCATGTTGTATATTAAGAGGTTGCTCGTCAGAGATAGCTACAGGTTTTAATTTTCTTAATTGATACTACATTTCCCATTACAATGTTTTCTAAGGTAAATACTTTTATGAGAAGAATTTCAGCGTTGTGTAAGGGTCGAAAGGTTTCGAAAGACGAAAATTTAAATTTCTATAAGATTTTCGTAGAACAGGAGTGTTTTACGCACTTTGTTAAATCTGTTTCAAAGAATGAACCTTGAACTTTTTCCCACTTTTGCACAAAAAAAGAAAATAAGTTACACAGGAAAGGAAACTAGGTTACTATAAATTAAGAATTTCAGAAAGTGAATTTTGCTTAGCACAAACTGAAAAAAGTGCGCCAAGATAAATTTTTAATTTCTCGTCAAATTTTACAAAATCTAATACTTGAGCATGATTGAAGTAATAGAATTGAAATATGGAAAAAAAACTTATATGTAATTTCTGAAGAAGTCTGATTTTGTGTCAAAATGCCTATGTTAGAGCAAAGCTGTATAAAAATGTGTTATATATAATAAGTTGTGTTTTCGAGACATAAAAAACGTAAGTTAAATTTCGTCGATCAGCCCTGTAGAGCGGGAGATTATAGAACTGCCAAACCTTTTTTTTTTTTTTTTTTTTTTTTTTTTCTGTGCAGAGTGCGTATTATTTGAGACATTAAAGAACGAGTTTAAACCTAAGTCAGCTTCCTTATTTTTTCTTCCTCTTACCTTCAAAAAATTTCCAACACGTAACAAAACACGAATAAATGATTATGATAATGTACGATTTAACCAACTGTTTGGTACATTAATGGAACCATATTTCTATAGTCTGATAGTATTATACGAAAGTTACACAAAAATGGGACGAATTCTAAATTTTCTCATATCCGATTCAAAAAAAAATATTTGCGAATATTCCAAGTCTTTCGCCTTTTTATCTCCTAATTGCCCATAAAAATTGATAATAAGAAAATTATATTGCTATTTAATATTAAAAGTTTGTAATTAAAGTAAGACTTCCAATTCTAAATTTTTTGAGATTCGTTTCGTAGAAAGCTATCGAATTTTCCAAATCTTTCGCATCTTATATCTTCAAATAAAAGAATTAGGTATAATAATATGAAAAAGAAAGAAAATTATAATTAATATTAGCTTAATATATTAAAATTAAAAGTTTAATATGTTAATTACTATGAAAAATTAATATTAGAGTTGATTATGGTAATTAATGTTTAAAGTTAATATTAAAAGTTTAATATCTTAATTAATATTGAAAGTTTGCAATTCAAGCAAGAGCTCAAATTCTAAATTTTCTCAAATCCAATTCCTATAAAATGTTTCGCATTTTTAGGATCCTAATCTCTCGTATAATAATAAGAAGAAAGAAAATTATACTGCGATTTAACATTAAAAGTTTGTAGTTAAAGTAATTCTCAATTCTAAATGTTCTCAAATCCGATTCGTAAAAAAACTCTCGAATCTTCCAAATCTTTCACATCTTTAATCTCCTAATCGCTCGTATAATAAGAACAAGAAAGAAAATTATATTGTTATTAAATATTAAATGTTTGTAATTAACACACGTAGGCTGTAGTGCCTCAGAAGAAACCGAATTAACACAAGATTTCTAATTCAACATTTTCTCAAATCCGATTAGTAAAAAGCTCTCGCATCATTAGTCTCCCTGATCTCTCGTATGATAATGATAAGAAGAAAAAAATTTATATTGTTATTTAATATTAAAAGTTTGTAATTAAAACAAGATTACGAATTCTAAGTTTTCTCAAATCCGATTTGTAAAAAAAAACTCTTGAATCTTTTAGATCTTTCCCTTAGTCTCTTAAAATCTCGTATAACAATAAAAAGAAGAAAGAAAATTATATAGTTATTTAATATTAAATGTTTGTAATTAAGGCAAGATTTCAAATTTCTAAATTTTCTCAAATCCGATTCGTCAAATCGATCCGCTCTTGGATCTTCAAAATGTTTCACAGCTTTAGTCTCCTAATCTCTCGTATAATAATAAGAAGTAGAAAGAAAATTATACTGTTATTTAATATTACAAGTTTTTAATTAATGCAAGATTTCAGATCTGTGCTTTGTAAAAAAATAAATTAAAAACTGCAGCATATTTAAGAAGCATCCTTTTCTATAAATAAGAAAGAAAGGAAATTATGTAAATGAAGAATTTAACTAAAACGCATAAATATGAAATTTCATTCTGGGTATAATTTCAGAAAATAATTCAGTTACAGTCTAAATTTTATGAATTTTCCCCAGGACATTTTTTAATCAAACCAAGTATATATAAAGAGAGGGATTATATCAAAGATTAAACTAAATATGGAACGCTATATTCTGTCCAGAAAATTCGGAGTAGTACTCAAAGCTGCCTGGAGTTTTTTTTAATGAATGCTTCTTTTGCACGTCAGTATGAAAACTATTTGCATACTTGAGACGTTTAATGTTTTTAAGTTAAGCTTCGAAAAATTCGAATGACGAAACAAGGGTAAAGATTCGAGTTTTCTAGCCTCGAACCTCTTCCCAGATTGATGGAATTAGGAGGTTTGCGGACTTAAATATCTCATACCTATTGATAGTAATGGTATTAACACTTCACACGATACTTATATTATTCATCAAAATGGATTCGTAATTATTATATAGTATTACATTACGTAAATTTACCTGTAAAACAGAAACAATCCTTTCTGGGTAGCTAATGATTATCACAAAATTTATAAAGCATAAGTTAGAGAAATTTTAAATTCTCGTTCTGTTTTCGCAGTATCTATAAAACTCATTTGAAGTATGGAACAAGAACTTCTCTTTTATACCCAGAAAGGATTGAATTCTTGAACTTATGTCACCCATGCGATTGTGATTAGTAAAAATATTTATTTGTAGAATGGCAACAAAAACTGTGATAACAGAAATATTACTTATTTCCGTCGGTGCAAATGGTATCAGTAGTATTTATCTCTTTCCAGTGCAAATGATAACGCCATCAGTGCGAGTTTATAATATGATTTGAACAATGAATTTAAATTAAAAGGTATTTTGAAACGTAACCTCATTTACAATCAGAAAAATCTGATTTTAAGTACTTGTGTACTAACTGAGTTATTTGATTTAAATTTCTCAAAATCTCAAAGTTTTAAATGATTGTTGTTATTTCTTAATAATTAGATATAATTTAAGATAAAAAATAAGACATATACAAATTTTAATCCAAGTGCATTGGTCCATCAGCTGATAAAAAATTAGGAAATGATATTATCAGAAAAATAAGGAAAGAAATGAAAAGAAATCCAATAAAAGACAATATTTTCTTTCTCTCTTTTTCACCTGGTTTCCTCTACTTTCAAAAATTCAAAATAATTTTATGACTGAAATGTTAAAATTAAATCTCTGCGAATACTTTGTTATGAAATTTTTACTAGGAAGGTCACATCTTATAAAAAATCTAAGTAAATTTGCCTCTGTGGAAGGCTTTTTAAATTAAAAAAATAAAAAAATTTACATTTTAAAGTTTTTAACAAAAATTTAAAATGTAATATTTTTAATAAAATAGAAAATATTAAAATATTTTTAAAAATTAAATTATTAAAAAATAAAATTATTTAATTTTTAAAATTTTAAAAATCAAATTTTAACTAGGAAGATCACATCTTATACTAAGCAAATTTGCCTTTGTGGAAAGCTTTTTAACAGAAAATTACACATGGGAAGAATACGAAAATGCATGTAACCAACCCAGGCATTCCATGCTGGATTATTTTAATAGTAATAAATTAATTATATTAGCTCCATAATTGTTTTGGCTGCAACTGGATGAGAAGAATTTGGTAACAAGTAAAACTCTGAATAGCTATTCACGATTTTTAGATACAGAATGTCTGGATTCCATGTATAGTTTAATTCATTTAGCTAAAATATTTCAGTAATGAATTATATTAAATAATGTATTAAATGTAGAAGAAAAGAAAAGAGAACCTATCCTAAAGATGAAACATTCTCTCTTAATTTAGTTTTTACCGTCAATTAACCATCAATCATAATTTTTGTTAATTGATGGTAGATTGGTTTATCCCCTTAATATGTCGATTAATCTGCGATCAATGACAATAGCTACATTTTCAGTACTTAAAATGTTTACTTTTGGTTTAGGTATTTCTCTGCAATTAAAGATTTTTCTTAGTAGATTTTTATGCTTTTAAGCAAGGAGATTTTGAATATACTAATTTGAAAATCCTAATTTAAAATACTAATTAAAATTCTGACTAATTTTTTTTCATTCATGGTTTTTAAACTGAATTTGTGTTCCTTGGAGATGGTATATGGAAAGTTTTCTTATTATAAATTATTATGTGTGTATATATATATACATGTGTATGTGTCTATCTTTAAGATTCTTTAATGTTTTCATTGATTAATTGTACGAAGTTATAAAGTATTTGCTATCTTTTTTCCACATAATTTCGTGGTGTAATTTGTAACTGGAAGCATATTCGAAGGCTATTGGGGGGAAGTCTAGGATTCGAATTCCGAGAAGATCATTGCTCATTATTCACGTCTCCTGCTTCAGGAAATCTAATGAATGTACAAAGTAAAAGAAATATTGAAATCGCAAACATTTCGAGTACCATATTTCAACGGAAATGTCCATTTTGATCGTTCATGAAGCCATCTGGAAGACTTTATGAGTACGGACAGAATAAAAGATATTTTTTCCAAAAAAGATTTTTTTTTATTATTATTTTCAGTGGCTAGGCAAAAAGTTAAAAGAACTAAAATTTTACAAACAGAGGTTACAAACAATAGAAGTATCAACAAAAGGACCGAAATCATTGCCTAAGGAGCGCTCTTACTTCCCAGTATCTCGACTCCTCCACAAAATCACGAAGAGCCTCACATCAAAGCAGGTGGTCCCTATCCATTTCTTCTCCAAAATTGCAAAATAGGCAGATAGTAACGCTTAAAATGCCTATGAGGTGCAGGTGGGCGACAGAGCAATCATGTCCTGTAGACAGATGGAAAGTCGCAACTGCATTGCATCTTGGACTACCGAGAATAAGAGGACTTACTATTCTCCAACTTTTAAAGGCTGTGAGAGTATGAAGATCTCGTAAGATGTAAATAAACCTTTTTTTGAAAACAGTTTAATCCTCCAATGCCAAAAAGGGATTTATTAAAAATGGATTCAGAAGATATTTGCGTTTGTAGGTACGTATGTATGTATGTAATATGTATCTCGCATAATTCAAAAACATTAGCCGCAGAATGTTGAAATATTGTATATGGTATTGCTATAACATCTACTTTTTAATGCAATTTTATTGCAATATACTTCCATCACAGAAGTGTTTTAAAAAGAGAAAATATTTATGTTTTGGCAATGTCAAATTAGAGAAAGTTTAATTTTCAATAAATAAACAAGTCTAACTTTTAATGCGGTGTCCCGGTTCCTATACTTATATTTTGGAAACTTTTATACTCGTCATGAAAAATTAAACTTATAGGAATTAGATATAGACTCCCGTGCAACACAATTTGTGCGGGATATTTAATTTCAAAAATTTATAATTTTCGGTCTCCTACTCAACTTGCCTTCAGGAATCGGTTAATTAAGTTATAATAATTCGAAGAAATAAGTTTAAATGAAGTGCAGCCAAAAATGTGCATAATTTAATAGGAAGCCATATAGTAAATACATCAGATTTTTTAGTTTCTGTATGCAGCCTGGTGCTCATTAAAAAATTGCAGCAAGCTCTTAACAGACTTGAAATGTGCATCAAAAGTATGTTGGGACATGCAAATGATTATCTTTTTCCTGTATGCACTCATTATAAGCGAAAATAACGACATCCCAAAGCAATATTAAACTGCAGATAGAAATACCGAGTTTTCTTTGGCAAAACATGTTTACCCATCATTTTAGTGTTGGAGGTCATGTTATATTTTGTAAAAGAGGAATGAATTATTACCAGCACCTTTCAGAATACGGTTGCAGGAGAATTATAGCCTACCGAGACTGCAATTTACAGAACTGCGCAATGGCTACTCGCGTTTACCATGATCCGACGATTATTAGGATAATTAGGAAAATAATATTCAGTTACTATTCTACATCACCTATAATACTGGGTGATGTAGAATAGTAACTGAATATTATTAATATATAATGTACACCTATAATCGTATAGGAGCTCTATAAACTGGGTTTGTTTCACAGCATCAAATAAGGTACGGTAGAATAAAAACATCTGGAATTTATACATTGTCAGCAAGGTGACCCTCGCTTTGGCTTCCCTTGACTGTCAGCACAAGAATCAGCAACGATGCATGCAACTACACACGGTCACGCATAACTGGCTTGATGGCGTCTTTTCTAAGAAATCCCGCTTTTGCGTACATCGTAGGACACCGCATGAAAACTTAGATTTTGTTATTTGTTGAAAATTATTTTTTTCTAATTTGACCATGTATAGAGAGCGTACAAATCTTCCATTTCTCATTATGCCAGCCCATGGCCTGGAAACTGATGATATACAGTGCAGATGGGTATATACCCTATTGTCTGCTAGTCCATTTAGCCTGTAGTCTGACCAGCTACCGTTAAGTTACTGAACAGATAATGCCCGCAGCTGTGCCATATTCTCATAGCCTCCGTTTCCGCAGAATTGCAGATCTATGTTGCCCAATCTGCGCTACGTTTCTTCAATACATAAGGCGTTCGATTTCTGTATTAGCTCTCCCGTTCACCATATTTCTGAGATAAAACGTCTGGCCAGTGGTTGCAGAGAGACTGACACAACAATATCCCCCAGCCATTACAACAGATAAAATCCAGTATGATAGGTGATGTAGAATAGTAACCAAATATGGTTGCAGAGAGACTGGCACAATATCCAACTAGTCATTGCAACAGCTAAAATCCAGTATTATAGGTGATGTAGAATAGTAACTGAATATTGTTGCAGAGAGACTGGCACAACAATATTCCCCAGCCATTACAACAGATAAAATTCAGTATGAGAGGTGATGTAGAATAGTAGCCGAATATGGACTGCAATACCCGTAATTGCCATCAGAAGTCTGTTTAACTCCATGCAACAGCTGTTGGCTTCATCAAAGAGTTATCATCGGGGTGTTAATTTTTACATGTTAAATGCCTTTGAATTGCCTGAAACTGTCCAGATGCTGCTCAAATAATAAAGATCAAAATCTGGAGCTTCTTGTGAAGCATGCCTCCAGTAATTGCCTCATGGGATTCAGAATCTGAGAGGGAGTATGAGCAACGGAAAGAAAAGCGGTGGAAGAAATTAAGAATCAATATAATTCGGATTTCCAAAAGGCAAACTTGAATTTATTTTTTTTTAGTTTAGATGTGTAACCGGCTGCAAGTTCTTAGGTAATAATTTTTGCTCCTGAGGAAGAGGAACTTTAATCTTTCTGCCCTTGAAATCAATAGTTTTATTCAATGCCTGCAAAGACATTTAATAAAACTCAAAGCAAGGAGTTTTTTAATATTATTTAAAATTACTTTCATGTCCATATACAAGAGTATCTTGATCTCAAAGTTCTAGTGGCAAACGATTCAAAACTTAGAAATAATGATAAGATATATGTATTTTTTCAGATTTCTTGAAACGAATAATTGTCATGCTTATTTAATGAAGATGATTACTTATATTATTTATTATAGTATGTAGCAACTAGTTATTCGAGACAGAATAAAGAATGCTAGTAAAACTGTTTTAAAACTAAAAAAGATTTTATCTGCACTTTTTAAATGCATTTTTAGAAT